TATGACTTTGGGTTTCAGAATCAGAATGCAAGAAGGATTTTATAGCATACCATTGTCAAAGATGCACTATGAAGCTAAATGCAGATGTTTATGGTTGCAAGCCACAGACCGGACTGATGAAACCTGAATTTGACAAACAATATAGATCTACATAACATGCTAATGTAACTGGAGACGGAATAATTACTTATGGCTACCACTACCCAGACCCCAGAGTATAAACTTTCCTCCCCAATGGTAAATTTCCAACTGAATGGAAAGTGACAAGCAAAGGCAGATTACCACCAAAATCACAGCTTTATTTTTCTACATTCACTATTAAAACATTGAGCTCAACATCAATATAATACCATACCCCAAAGCGAACACCTGGTATGACTACGTTTACATGGACATCAGTAATCTAATTATTTACCTTATTCTAAATAAGCCAATATTATAATTATGGTGTTTACATGAGTTGCTTTTAGAATATTCCTTTCATGTTCCCGTTTTACATGTTATCACATAGTTTGATTAATGGCACACGTCATTACGTCCCCACGCGACGCCATCCGACGTCCCCTCTGGAATTTCACGTATAAACATAGTTCGTCTTCGTGACGATGCCATGTATAGTTTTGGGTGTTTCATTTTTATTTTATGAAAGCTTCAAGTGCAGTTAATTATTTGTACATGCATTCAGATGATGGCGGCGTTGAAGCTCTTTATTTGCTGTCAAACGGTTGAACACTGCCGTTTGTGTATCCTGTCGCAAAATGCGGCGAAAAGTCCTACACGACGGTAATAATGTGATTAATGCCCGGTTCAGACTACAGGATTTTAGCCCGATTTTGCCACGATTTGCTTGATGTATGGTGTCGTGGGGATTCGTAAACAACAATGGGCGTCGGGACGCAAGATTCCATCGTTTCAGCTCGTGTAGTGTGTCATAGTGGACGACAACCGATTCCGCGTCTGCGATGCTTCACGACATCACGACAGAAAGACTAGCATGTTTAATTTTTTTTCCGTCGTCCACGACGAGTTCTGTCACATTGGTGACGTTGACCAATAGCAGCACAGAAGCTCTTTCATACACAGGTTTCAAACATGGCGAAACAAAATAATTATGAGATGGAGGAAAGGTTCGTGGAGCTGTGGCAACAGTACTCCTGCCTGTATGATGTGTCATCGAGGGACTACCACGACAGAACAAAGAAAGAAAAATGCTGGCGAACTATAGCGGAAGCGCTTCAGCA